AAAGCAACTGTTCTGTGCTGGAGAAGGTGCTCCAAGATGTGGGGGCTCAGGCTGTCTGGGCAGAGCTCTGCCTCCTGCCAAGAGGGGCACAATGAAATGGAAACAGCTCCGATGCGCCTTTTTGGCTGTAGGAAGGATATTTTCAAGAGGGAGAGGAGAGAAAGGAGGGGAGGCTGCTAGCTTGGAGAGTTCATAGGAAAAGGGCTCCTCTTGAAAGATTAAATTTACCTTTGTTAGGTGCCAACACCATTACAAAGAGTTATTTGTAGAGAGTGAGCTGAGGTGGAGTGTGTACATTACTGCAGAGGTAACTGGTTAGTAAAATCTGCTGGACTAGGAAGTTCAAGGAGGGATGGGTGCGTGTTCATTTTTGCTTTCTTTTTCCCAACTGAAAAATGCTGACAGAATACCATTTTCTGAAAGGCTAGGGACAGCCAGCTCTAGAAGGAACTTAAATTTTTTAAGTCTGCAAGGAATGGAGGTGCGTGGGAGAGAAATACTGATAAGCCAAGCAGGCTGCACCTTAGGGATCGGGAAGTGCAGGGATGAAGTGAGAACTGCCAAAACTCACGCCGAGTTAGGTCTTGCAGAAGAAATAAACTGTGTAACTTGAAGGGGGACAGGAGAGAAAGAGGGAAGGCTGCCATGGGGGAGCAGGGAGGTAAGGAATGAAATGAGCCTTCTGTCTTAATGCTCTGTAGAGCATCTGGGTGAACGCTCCTGACCTCTGAGCTTTGTCTGGTACAGAACTCCCTCTTGGATGTTGCTTGCTCTGAGATGATTTTCTTTTTCTCTGCAGCTGTGCATGAGTAAATGGGAAAAAAATGCTTTTTGAGTGTTTATGATCAGGGTATAACTGTAGGCTGAGGCTTGAAATCATTTTCATGTGGAGTCCTTCTGATGGTGGTGTGATTGACGAACACTTGGACTCAAAAAGATGCTTCCAGCTAGGTGATATAATGGGAACAGTTGGGAATTTTATGGCTGGTTGGGTTTTTTTGGAAATGGGAGCACTGATGACATGGTGTGATGGTGCGTGTCTAGTCGGTCCTGTCGAGTCTCCCAGCGCTGCTGATTTACAGAGTCCGTTGCTCTGGGCTGAGGGAAATGTATTTAACAAGGTGAGGTGACTCCATGAGAAGAGCAAACAAGCCACTCTGGCTAAGAATTTGAGTTGAAAGCCTTGGTTTGAATTGCATTGCCCCCAGCTCCCTTTGGCTTTTGGCTATTTTGCAGCAGAAGAATCTACTTCCTTCCTTGTTCCTAGTGAAGCACTTCATTTTACGCCAAGGCAGAGAGTTCTTGAAATGCACAAGGTTTTCCAGTGTGGGAAAATCTCTTCGTTCTGAATCCCCTTCCTTCCTGATTAATTTTAAGTTCAATTTCTAAGTTACCTCAGTCCTTTTCCTAAAATAGACCAGAGTTTGGGCTTAAACTATTGGAATGTTTGAGAACAAGCTTGTAGCATTTTTCCTAACTGGCAGGGACAGTTAAGGAGTTTGATTTCAGTTGGTTCAAAATTCAAATTATCTCTAGCAAATAAGATATAAAATATAAGAAACTTGGTATCGGTGTCTAAAAAACCAAAAACCACACTTGGGAAAGAGAACCGGCTGTTTGAAGTGTGTTATGTTGTTGGGAAGCCAGCTGCATTCAGAATGAAAGTAACCAAATTAGAGTAAAACTGTAGTTGCTGGATTTTGTTCGGGTCAGGAGAGCAAACGGGAGGAAGCCCGCTAGGTTTGAAGCAGGCAGTACGTCATGGCGGGGTAATCGCTGGGTCGGAAGTTCTCAAGAAGGAACGAGTCCATGGACCACTGCTGGTTTATGCTGCTCTGAGGAGGGCTGTGGAGGCGATGAGTGGATTGGTGTTGGCTTTTTTCCTCCTGAGTGTTAAATTTGTATGAAGAGACCTTCAAATCATTTTCCAGCACTACTTTTTAGTCTCTGGAGCTGTGGTGTATTAGTGAAGTCTGTCCTGTAAGGATTGCTTATTCTAAGTCTTGCCTGTGATGTCACCCCACAAAAGCATTTGCAGGAAAGATTGACAAATACATTTCCTTACTAGTCTCTCTGGCTTTGCTTGCACTTATAAAGGTGTCAGTAAATGCAATTTTAAACTCAATTTTTCACAGAGTTACAATACTGAGTTTAGAAATGAACTGGTCCCCATTTTGGTGATATGCATGTTCCATCACATTAAGGATCAGAGTTCGCTCCCCCACATCCTGACGATATCAGTATTCTTTCTGACAATGCCTATTTCTTTTAACTATGGCTATTTTACACGTTAGCACCCTGCTGGAGTCCATCCAAGCCCAGA